TGTCGGTCGGTCGGTCGATCGGTCGGTCGGTCAGTCTGTCTTTCTGTCTGTCTGTCTGTCGGTCAGTCTGTCTGTCTGTCGGTTGTTTACTTAGTCCGTCGGTCGGTCGGTTGTTTACTTAGTCGGTCGGTGTCGGTCGGTCAGTCATCAATACAAAGATGGGAATATTAATTTATTGTTCAGTTTGTTATAAAGCCTTTGAGTCATCTATGGTGAACACTTACAATCTCTGGCATAATACACGAGTCTGCCGTTTGAGTCCCTGTAACTGGCTGGTACTTCTTCACATTGGGACTTCACTATAGAGTTCAAGCAAGCAAACAATGTCCTTCGCTTGCAGAAACACTTTCTTATGATCGTCATCGTGCCATCCAGATGCAATATAGTAGAAATGCTAGGTGGCTTTAAGTGGCATGGATGGAGATTGCTTTGTCTCTTGAATTCTTTGTCGTAAGGCACAATTCTATCATCGTTTTCCAAAAAGGAATTCAATTCCACTGAAGAATTCGGGGAAAGAACTTTGGAAAAATTTTCTGATAACGTCACTTCCGGCTCATTTGTGTCAGCGGTCCTGCTGTAAGACGGTCTCTCGAGTTCGAAATTGAGAGTGACGTCATTTCGTCGTGGAAAACATGAAACGTGTATTGTCTAAAAATAAACAAAAATGCGTTAAATCAAAGATAAATAGCTTTTGATTAATATGTAAATGCTATTTTGTGACGTAATGGCCGTAATTTTAAACATGCATGTAAGATCGAGAGCCAAACTAGAGAACACGTTTGCGCATGCGTGCATTGTAGTTTGTTTTCCAAGAATTAAAGAGCAGTAAAAAGTAAAAAGTAAAGTACCTAAATTTAACGTCGGTAGTTCCGTCAGTTGAAATTCAACTGCTATCAATGGAAGCCGACGGTGCGCACTTTACCCCTCTCTCCATCAGTGCTCTGTTTTAAGAGTATTTAAAGCTGAAGCTACACGGAGCGTTTGAAATTRAATACGCGAGATCGTTTTTCGCATGAATAAAGAAAAAAACGTAATCAAGACCAAAATATTCCAAGTTCTGACTTTAAGTTTTAGTTTTACTTCATACAATTTTGAAAGTTTATTTGCATATTTTGACAAAACGTTTTGCACGAACACGAATTACGAGCATGTGCGATGACTTTCCCGGAACTCCTCCCTGTAAGAGCTATAGAGCGTTTTTTTTTTTTTTTTTTTTGTTCATTTAAAATCGTTTGTCGACGACTCTACAGTTTATATTCTCTACCGCTACCGACAAAGAGAAAAAGAATACTTAAAGAATGACACGTGGTTAAAATATGAAATCATTACGCCCTAGCTCAGTTACGTTGGGTAAATATGATCTAGTAACCGCAGTTTTATAATATGGACTCTCATTTTTCACTATAATCTAATTAGATATATCGTTGTTCGGTAAAATCAAATATAAAAATAACGCTCTGAAGTAAAAATACAATTCTATCTTAACTCAATTTTGTTCCGTTAAAATCTCGATTCTCCGGAGCAGTTTACATATATTAGTACTCTTTTAAGATTATCTAGGATGCAAGGCTAACMGGGAAATACGAAAGAAATCACACTTTTTCTTGATGGGATTTTGCCACTTAATATTTTGTATTCTCCTGTTAGCCTGGCACCTAATGAATAATTTTGAAAAGGGTACTAAGCCATAGATAAAGAAGGAATGCCAGAGTATTCTGGAATATACAAGATTAATCCTACGATATCTATCAAGTCAACTATGCTTAAACAAAGCGAAAATAACTGTGTTTGAGGGAATGGTTTTGGGTGGTGTCGAATCTGGGAATTAAAGGAATGATTTCGTTTCAATAATCTTCTACAAAAGATAGAAAAATTGTTGGTTTATACTTACAAAGAGCAGAAAAATGCAGAAGTTTTGAAATACTGCCTTCATTGTCATTCTTGATGTTGGAATTACTCTGGTTGAGTTCTAGTGGTTTCTGCTGAGGTCCTTTCGTTGATGTGGTTCGGGTATTTCTTTCAGTCTCCCTTTTAAGCACCTSACATAAAGCCCATGCGCAGAGAGAATCCAATAGAATGAAGGATGACGAATATTCAGATGAATAATACAAGATTTTTATTTATTTTTTGTTTCTTTAAACTCCAACGTTTTAATCCATTAATAACTTGACTCAAGAGCATAGTCAAGGAGTTCTTTCATCAAGTTTTATATTAAGGGGGAATTTGTTTGAGTCATTTTATCTTTTACGAAATACAGTTGTTTACAAGTCAATGGTGTAGGAGAATTCAAAGCAACGAGGGCCGATATAGTCACAGTTAGTTCACAGCTTTCTAAGGAAGTGCTACACGTTGAGCCCCAGATGGTACGATTGGTCAAGACTCTTCTGTATCATCAAATCTCGAGTAAAGTTTCCCTTTGCAGTCTGTTTAGCTAAATTGTAGGGTTATTTCGGTCCAAATTCGCTAAATATAATAGCAAAATATTCCGAAAAAGATATTGACGAAGAATGTAGTGATGAAAATTAGTGATGTTTGGCTATTAGGGAAAGATCCCCCGGTCATACAGTGTCTAAATACCGTGAGTTAATGACCCCAGATACGCAATAAAGTTAAAAGGATAGTAATTGGTGTGGATTGAGTGTTCAATTAAATCATAGCTTAATGATCTGTGAGCCAATCAGAGGAAGCTCTRTGTGTTATTTTTGCATTTAAGGCAGAGATTGGTTTTATGACACTGGGAAAAAGCCAAGTCCATAAACTATTTTTTACCAACCAAATTTTCTGAACCTAGTGAACAAATCACAGATTGTTCCTATCATTGCACATTGCCATGATATCATCTTCATGTAAAACACGAAGTCAATTAACAACTCCCAATTACCAATCTATTAACACTATTTTTTTCAACATTTGGACATGTTATTTTATACATTTGAACAACACTAAGACGTTCACGTCAAATAATGTTCTTAATGATGCATTCTTGTTCACTTGTTCTTAACGAAACGGACGAATTTTAAAAAGTGAAATTCAAGTTTTTTTTCTTGTTGCTCGACTTCAGAAATAAGAGATCGCAAAAGACGGAGTTTCTTCGCTGATGTTAATGCTTCGCAAGTACGAGGTTTTTTCCGAGTTCTCCCGTTTTCCTCATTCCGCAAAAGAAGACAAGCCATATTATGATGCAATATGTGAGTTGACTTTTGGTTAGGTTCCTAAAGCTGATATAAAGAAAAATAAGCGGATTCAAAGGAAAAATAAACTCGCTTTTAACTGGATTCGTAAACTTAAAAAAAAGAAAGCAAAAAAAAATATATAAAAGAGAAAGATAGAAGGGAAAAGAAAGAAAGAAGGAAGCAAGGAAGCAAGGAAGCAAGGAA